TAACTGGCCAGTGGGGCCCAGGCCACGCGAATGGGGATAGGGATCGGTTCAGCGATGCTCACTCTAAAGATCGCCGCCAGGGCGCGCTCCGAGACAGGCCCTGGGTCGGAAACTGGAGCATATACACTACCAGTGGCGGGCCAATCCCATGACTTTTTGAGGGTCGGGGACGAAGTCGGGGTGGTGTGGTGTATACTTTCTCCCTACTTGTTCCTGGTATTCCTGGAAGAACAACTGGGCGCCGGCGGTAAACCGTCAACCTTTGTTACCGCCGGGGGACTCGTAGAGCTTCCTGACAACATATACTGTCGCAAAAAATTGCAGAGAACGAATAGTTTTTCAGCCGAACTCGAGTATCAGACCGAGTTCAGACCTCTGAATGCGACAGACGGACGCGTCTGATGTCTCCGAATCGATTCCTGCGATTACCCGCCCTGCAGCCTCCCTACAGCCCGAATTAAGTGCAGAACGCCAAGAGTAGCTCTCAAGATGACTGGAAGAATACGAACAGTTTCGTGATTCTGGATCGCGCAACAGACCGAGTTCAGAGCTCTGGATTCAGCAGTCGAACGCGCATGATGATTCTCAGTGCGGTAGGTGTGCTTACCAGCACTGAAGCTGCCCTACAGCTCGAGTTAAGTAGAAAATACCGACAACGCGTATCAAGTTGACTCGAATAATACGAATAGGTTTGCGGACCTAGCTCGGCTAGCAGACCGAGTTTAGACCTATGGATTCAACAGGCGAACGCGTCTGATCATTCTGAGTGCGATAGGAGTGCTTACCAGCACTGTAGCTGCCCTACAGCTCGAGTTAAGTAGAAAATACCGACAACGCGTATCAAGTTGACTCGAATAATACAAACAGGTTTGCGGACCTAGCTCGGCTGACAGACCGAGTTCAGACCTCTGGGTTCAACAGGCGAACGCGCCTGATCATTCTGCATGCGTTAGCTGTGCTTACCAGCTCTGTAGCTGCCCTAGAGCTCGAGTTATGTTCAGAAAACCGTCAGCGCATATCAAGATGACTCGAAACGGCCGATCCCGCCAGAGTGCTTTTTGGCCTTCAAAGTTACCCGATCGAGCTGAGATCAAGATGGAGAGCGGGAATAAGATCGAATATCACGGGAAAAAATACTAGAGCTCTAACGAATGTTCAAATTTCGAGAACGAAATTTTCAACCGAGCAAAAGTCACCAAAAGTTCCGTCGAGATTTTTCTTGCCAACTAGCTCTCCAGCGCGCCGGAATTACTCTTAGCTTCCAGCTATAACTAGCTAAGGGAAGCTCTACGAGTTATGAAAAGTGTATACCCCAGGATCCCGTGCACACCAGGACCCTGCTCCCTGCGCAAGTTTCAGTGCAGCGCCGGAAAAAGCGTCGGTGTACAGAGTTCGTCTCCTTGCTGGGGCTGCGTCTGCGCTCCTGGGAGGCCCAGGCCTGGACGAGGGCCTCCCTTGCCGCGGCGCACGAGCAGGGCTCCCTTCGACGCCTCTGATTCGATTCGACTTCGGTGGCGCCTCCCCCTCCTCCTCCTCCTCCTCCTCCTCCTCCTCCTCCTCCTCCTCCTCCTCCTCCTCCTCCTCCTCCTCCTCCTCCTCCTCCTCCTCCTCCTCCTCCTCCTCCCCCTCCTCCTTCTCCTCCTCCTCCTCCTCCTCCTCCTCCTCCTCCTCCTCCTCGTCCCTCTGCCGCGCGCTGGTCGGCTTCACACGCCAGAGTGACCCTGGGTACAGTAGGGGCTCGACCACAAGAAACCTTCCACGAGAAGCCCAACCCTGGAACCCCAGGACGTCCCTTGCTTCTTGGTGTGGGAGCGTCACGGCTTCCATTGCAAAGCCATCGAAAAAGCCCGAGAAGCCCAGGGCATCCTGGAGGCAGGCAGGGTGTTCTTTGGCATGGGTTTCCACCGTGCACGCAAGAGTGGCCCCTCGCCAGAGTGACCTTTGATGCGGGCCCCCCGCCCCCCCACCCGATCGCCGACTGCGCGCTGGGGTTCGGCCCCCTCGCGCCCCCTAAGCAGCCTCGGGCCGGACGAAAGGGGGGGATTGGGAAAGGGGGGGGGTACGAAATCTGCTGCATGCAGCTTGTTTCGGCCCCACCGAGGGGCTTATTCCTCGATGCATAGCCGTCTCCGGCGCCGGGAGGTGCCGGGAAAATCAGCTACGTGAGCTGATTCTCAAACCCCCCCTTTGCTATCCCCCCTTTTGCCCGGCCCGAGCCGCGCACCGATGGTCACTCTTGCACACGGCCACTCTTTGCGTGCAGCCGACCCGATGTTGATTCGGCTTCGACTTCGGATTCCAGTGTGGGCTCCGATGTCTCAACGGAGGCCAGCTAGCCTGCCGAGCCGATTTTGCTGCCGATTCGACTTCCGCCGATCTGGTTCATCGCGAGATCGCCGATCCGACTTGTCGATCCGACTTGTCGATCCGACTCTGGGCTCTCCTGCACGAGCGCCCCTCCGCCAGCAGGCCCCCCCAATCGCCACGGGGTCCAGGATCCAAGACAGAGTCTGGTCAGCGTTCGGGTCGGCCCCCGAGATGCGTACAGACGGACTTTCAGGGCGGGAGGCTCCTGGCCATCGTCGGCCCGGGGAGGCCACCGTCGGGCCCCCAGGGACGTCGAAAGGCGACGCGGGAGGAAAGGCCGGTCCCGGGGGGGAAGCTTCGGGACTCCCAGGGGCCGCGCTATGGAAAGAACCCGGGCGTCGCATGTCTGTGGACGGGTTTGGTCGGCGTTCGGGTCGGCTGAAGCCGCCCAGGCGATGACCAGGAGGTCCGAGCACTGCCCTGACCCACTGTGGCCCTGAGGCTCTGGGCCTCCCAGATGGGGTCCGAGTAGACGGGGTCGAAGGATCGCGCCGCATCGCCGATGCATCGGCGATGCGGCTCGATGTGAGGCCTGATGTTCTCCGCGCCTGAGGAGTCGCCGATACACCGGTGACGTCGCCGATGCATCGCCGATGGGCGATGCGGCTCGATCCTCCGACCACATCTGCTCCGACCCCATTCAGGAGGCCTCTGTAGAGGCGGCAATCCCACGGCTGACTGGTCAGGTCAGTGCTCGGGCGATTCCGGTGGTACTCGAGGAGCTCCCCTGGAGCCCAGCGCTGGTCCGATTGTCTCCTGCTCCCCACGGAGGAGCGGCGTCCGGAGGGAAACGGGGCCCCAGGAGTCCCCCCGAATCCATCGCCTCGGCGACCTCGTCGGGAGGCGTCGATGCCGCAGCTGGTCTGCAGCATCGATCCCAAAAGGAATCGACGACACGCCCACGATGGCGAGGTGCAGGGAAACGGGTAGTTAGAAGTCCCCCGCCGTGTCCTGCCCCGAAGATCCTCCTGTGCTGATTGCTCCCTCCTCCCTTTCCCTGGCCCTCCGCGGCCGCCCTTTTCTCTCCCTCCTGCGTCTCCCCGCGCACGGCGCGCACTTCCGCAGCCCAGCTGCCGCTCCGGCTGCGGTGCGATCGTTCTCACCGCCGCAGGTGGCAGAGCATTCGTGGCCCCGTCTTCGGGCCCCCCGGGGTCGTTCCACTGGCCCGGGGGGCCGTCGAGGAGCAACGTGGGACGAACGGCTGGTCTTGGGGAAAGCTTCCTAAGTCTAAAGCTAAGTCGGGCCTGTCCCTCCACAGGAGGAATATCCCAAAATAGTTTAAAAATAATCCGGGGACGTTTTTTGTTTTTAAATATCATTTTGGGGTCATTTTCGATTGCTTTTTGTTTATTTTCATTTTTCGCCCAAATTTCCGCCTGTTGGGGGACACGCCCGACCTAAGGTTGGTCCTGGGGAAAGCCTCCCGAGTCTAGAGCCTGTCTCCCTCAGGACCCGCTTCATTTAGGCTGGCTCCCGTCGTCCCCCCTCTTCGTCTCCCCCCCCGACGACGACCGAAGATCGAGGAACCAGGCGTGCTGCGGAGCGTGTTTGGTCCTTTTTCTCGGCGCCTGGGAGGCCTTCGGGGAACTCTGCCGCCGCGTTTGTGCTGACGCGGCGCTTTCGCAGGTGCAAGAAAATAGGAGGGCGCCGAGACGGGCTTCTCACGGGTCGGCTCGCCAACCCGCCTTGCGCCGCGGACGGCAGCGGTGCTCACCTCGTCCTCGTCCTCCCTCCTCCTCCTTCTCCTTCTCCTCCTCCTCCACCTCCTCCTCCCTCCTCTCCTCCTCCTCCTCCTCCTCCTCCTCCTCCTCCTCCTCCTCCCTCCTCCCCCTCATCCCTCCTCCTCCTCCTCCTCCTCCTCCTCTCCTCCTCCTCCTCCTCCCTCCTCATCATCATCATCATCATCATCATCATCATCATCATCATCATCATCATCATCATCATCATCATCATCATCATCCCCCTCCCCCTCCCCCCCCCCCTCCCCCTCCTCCTCCTGCTCCTTTCCTCCTCCTCCTCCTCCTCCTCCTCCTCCTCCTTCTTTTCCCCCTCCCCCTCTGCGCGAGCGATCTGCCATCAGTAATCAGCAGCTCTCGTCTTTGCCGGCGACTCGAACAAATCGAGTTGTCGGAGGTTTGGAGGCCAGCTACAGCGACATCAGTCCATTCACGATAGCTCTCGACTGCATGCAACCTGCCATTGATTCTGGCAGGCATCGCTCCATATTCATTATACCGCGTTTCGTTCATCACAGATGGTGTAGTGGTTTGCGCTGGCCTGTCCTGAGTCGCCCTGCGGCGACTGAATGGACTGCTCAGCCCGTCTCGCGAGCATTGCATGGCGCCTGCGGTCGTAGACTGCCCGTCCTCAGATGGTCGGATCCCCCATTTCGAATATTTGCCTTCCTGGGGGCAAAACAAAATACTCAACTGTCCTCGTCGATCGTCGCCGCGGTCGTGTTCGTCATCACCGTCGTCGTCGTCGTCGTCGTCGTCGTCGTTTTCGTCGTCGTCGTCGACGACACCGTTGTCGTGATCGTCGTCGTGATCGTCGTCGTCGTCGTCGTCGTCGTCGTCGTCGTCGTCGTCGTCGTCGGCGTCGGCGTCGGCGTCGTCGTCGTCGTCGTCGCCGAGGCCGCCGCGCGAGGGGCGCGGAGGTGCCCCTCGCCTGGCGCTCCCGCTGCAGTGGAGGCCCATGCCAAGGAGCACCCTGCTTGCCTCCAGGGTGCCCGCCTCCTCCTCCTCCTCGTCCTCCTCCTCGTCCTCCTCCTCCTCCTCCCTCCTCCTCCCCCCTCCTCCCTCCTTCTCCTCCTCCGCCAAGGGTGCCCTGGGTTTCTTGGGTTTCGATGGCTTTGCCATGGGAAGCGTGACGCTCCCACACCAAAGATTGAGGGACGTCCTGGGGTCTCATGGTTGGGTTTCTCGTGGAGGTTTCTTGTGGTCGAGCCCCTACTTGTATCCCCATCCAGGAGAGTAAATCGGTCCGCGCGGAGCCCCAGAACTCTACATGTGTGTGGTTGCTGTTCTTCTCCTTCTTGGAGGAGGCACGAGGCCGAATACCTCGGGCTTGACGAAGAAAGGAGGGGATGGAGGTTCGAGGCTCGAGATTCGAGCTTCGAGGTTCGAGACCGATATCGGGATACGGTTATTTCGGGCATGCAAGCGATTTGTCGTGCTCTTTTGACTATGCCTGGGTATGTTTTGACTGTTTTCTTTTCTTCCAAACTACGCCTGTAGGGGCATGCCCGACCAAAGGATACCAAGAGCTATTCGAGGACCGATTTGGTTTGTGTGTTGTGTGTTGTGTGTTGTGTGTTGTGTGTTGTGTGTGTTGTGTGTTGGTGTGTTGTGTGTTGTGTATGTTGTGTGTGTTGTGTGAATGCGTTGTGTGTGTTGTGTGTGTGCTGTTTGTGTGCTGTGTGCGCGTTGTGTGTGTGGCCCGAAAGGGGCCCATCGTCCGCCCGTGGGCCAACAGCGTGCTGGTGCTCATGCTCCCGCTCGTCCGCGAGCCGCGACCTACCATGGCTCCCTACGGCAGCCCAGGACACATTGGGGACATCCAACTTACGCAGGCCGAAAGTTTTTCCTCTTGAGCCCCAGATGTCGGAAGCGACGTGCCGTTCAGGTGAGCGGATACATGTAGCGCTCTCTTCGACTTCGTGCCTCCTCCCTCCTCCTTCCCCTCTCCGCACAAGACAGAAATTGGATCCACGAAACTGTCGCACACACGAGAAAAATCCAATTGGATCCATCGGTGTTCTCATATTCTTAGTCCAGGAGGAAAAAACTTTCGGCCTGGGGATGTAGATGCTGCTCTCGGCATATATGTCCCCTTTTTAACAAGGCCGGGCTGCCCGTCCGTGACAGTTTTGGGAAGTCCCACAACCTCACTGAGCTCGACTTTCGCCGGCTCCACGGGCGCATCGAGGACTTCATCAAGGCCTGCTCGCGCCTTGTCACTGCCGCCCACCACCACCCCACTTCCGACCGCGCCCAGCAGGCCTCCACGTGGAGGGAAACCTCCGCCCGCGACTTCCCTTTCAAGGACAGTCTAGCTGTGTGCAACCTGCTCACATACCCCGCCGACCTGTCTGCCCTACGCCAGCGCGAATGCGCAATTTGCGTGCTTTCTCAGGACCTAGTTGGATCAAGTATCGGCCTCTTGCCCGCGGTCACGACCCCCACACCTGCCAAATACGGAAGGGGGGATTGTCCTGCACCGGAAAAGGTCTCCACCAGCCCCCACCAACAGGCGCACTCCCTGGCGCAGCGCTGCCCCCAGCCACGCAGCAGAACGAAGACAACCGCTTCCACATGGCAGACCAAGCCCCCAACGTCTCCTGTGACGCGTGCAGACACGGCCTCTTCGACCCGCGAAAGGGCAATGGAGGCGCGTGGGTAGACCTTCAGATTCGCCAGCTGTCAGCGGCAAGCCGACTCGAGTTCTATAGGCGAGGAGCCATCTGTCGCTCGTACTGCACTAACTGCTGGAAGGTAAACCAGGACGTCTTAGACCTCCCCATGCCCGAAGGGGTCAGGCTCACCACCCTCCTGGAAAGCACAAAGACCAAGCACAGGACTCAATATGAGGTCGCGCTCAAGCCCTTGCCCTCCGGGTCACCCCTTCCCCTACCAGAAGCACACACGCCCTTCTGGCAACTCCTCCTTCCACAAAGCGGGACTCAGGACCCGAACTTCACAAACGCCACAATCCCCGTCCAGCGCACCGGGGACGACAGATTTGGAAGGGAAATCAACACTGGTCGCTGGCGGTGCAAATGCGATCGCTGCCCTAGCAGTGCACCAGCTCACGAGTGGCAGTGCGGAAGCGCCCCCCAAAGACATTTTCATCTTCCGCCTTGGGGACCAGGCCCCCGACTCTGCTACGCACGGCCTCCCATCCTTTGAAGAGTGGAGGGGGCTCTGCTCAAACAAGAAGTGGAACGAAATGTGGTACTGCGCACGCTGCCTGGTGGACCTGAGGAACGCCCGCCCCAGCGACGCCCAGGCAATATTGACCAGAGACGAGGCGCAGGTCTACCGGGTAGACCTGCGGAGGTGGCCGCCAAAAGCCAACGGAGGCGGCCGCCAAAGCCCCCCAGACCTCCGCCACGTCCTCTCCTAGCTCCGTTGGACAGCGCCCGAGGCACGCGCCAGCCCGCGAAGGAAACCCATGATAAGAGCAAGGTGTCAGACGACCCCTTCCACCTCTTCCCAGCGGCCCCCACGTTGGAGGCACCCGAGCGTGCGCCCACGGCGCTGCCAGAGCCACAGGTGACCCCGCGCTCACAGAACCGTACAACAAGGCCAGCTACTATCCTCCTCGACGGGAGCGACCCCGGGACTGGCGCCAGGCGCCTTCGAACCGCGAGCCCCGCGCGACGCCAAATTGCTTTGTTGCTCAGGAGAGATCTCTCTCCTGCAGCACGCCCCCAGGATGGCGGACGACACCGCAGAAACCGCCCCGCCCAGAGGCTCCCAGCCCGTGGCCACCCAAGCAGCAGCAAGTCACCCAGCCGCAAGGGTTAATCTTAACCGTGAGTTTGAGCCCTTAACCGTGAAGAAAGTGTAGTGTCATAGCGTAGTGTTCAAGATACCTGGGTGTGACACGACGCTACCGTTAACACAGTGTCGTAGCGTAGTGTTGGGGACATTTGGGCGTGACACTACGCTGTGACACTACGCTACGGTTAGCGCAGTGTCACAGCGTAGTGTTGGGGACACCTGGGCGTGACACAGCGCTGTGACACTGCGCTACGGTTAGCGTAGTGTCATAGCGTAGTGTTGGGGACACCTGGGCGTGACACTACGCTATGACTGTACGCCACGGTTAGCGTTGTGTCATAGCGGAGTGTTGGGAGCACCTGGGCGTGACGCTACGCTATAGCACTGCGCTGCGATGGACTGGGGGGAGAAGGAATCGTTTTCGTTCGTTTGCTGTTCCTTTGGGTTATGTTTGACTCTGCTCCGTGTGAGAGGACACTGCGATACCGTTGGCGTAGTGTCATAGCGTAGTGTTGGGGGCACCTGGGCGTGACACTACGCTGTGACACTGCGCTGCGGTGGAGGCGGCGGAGAAGGAATGGCTTTTTGGTTCGTTTGCTTTTCCTTGGAGTTTTGCTTGGCTCTGCTCCGTGAGAGAGAACACTGCGATACTGGTAGCGTAGTTTGATAGCGTAGTGTTGGGGGCACCTGGGCGTGGCACTACGCTGTGACACTACGCTACGGTTGCGGGGGAGAAGGAATGGTTGCTTTTCTGGTTTGCTTTTCCTTGGGGTGTTGTTCGACTCTGCTCCGTGAGAGAGGACGCTGCACTACCGGTGGCGTAGTGTCATAGCGTTGTTGGGGGCACCTGGGCGTGACGCTACGCTGTGACACTACGCATCGGTTGGGCAGGGGGAGAAGGAATGGCTGTTTTGCTCGCTTGCTTTTCCTTGGGGTTTCGCTTGACTCTGCTCCGTGAGAGAGGACACTGCGCTACCGTTAGCGTAGTGTCATGGCGTAGTGTTGGGGGCACCTGGGCGTGACACTACGCTGTGACACTGCGCTGCGGTGGAGGCGGCGGAGAAGGAATGGCTTTTTGGTTCGTTTGCTTTTCCTTGGAGTTTTGCTTGGCTCTGCTCCGTGAGAGAGAGAGAACACTGCGATACTGGTAGCGTAGTTTGATAGCGTAGTGTTGGGGGCACCTGGGCGTGGCACTACGCTATGACACTACGCTTCGGTTGAGCTGGGGGAGAAGAAATGACTTGTTTGTTGTTTTTCCTTTGGGTTTTGCTTGGCTCTGCTCCGTGAGAGAGGACACTGCGCTACCGTTGGCGTAGTGTCATAGCGTAGTGTTGGGGACACCTGGGCGTGACACCACGCTATGGCACTACGCTGCGGTTGAGCGGGGGGAGAAGGAATCGTTTGCGTTCGTTTGCTTGTCCTTGGGGTTTTGTTCGATTATGTTCCGTGAGAGAGAACGCTGCGATACTGGTGGCGTAGTGTCATAGCGTAGTGTTGGGGGCACCTGGGCGTGACACTACGCTATGACACTACGCAACGGTTGAATCGGATGAAACAGGAAGAGTTTGTTCGTTGTTGTTTGGCCGTGCTTTTCCTTTGGGTTTTACCTCGCTGGACTTTGCTCCGTGACAGAGGATTTGGCGCTGCGGTCAGCGTAATGTCATAGCGTAGTGTTGGAGACAATTGCGTGTGACACTACGCTATGTCACTACGCTGCGGCTAGCGTGTCATAGCGTAGTGTTGGGGGCACTTGGGCATGACGCTACGCTATGACACTACGCTACGGTTAGCGCAGTGTCATGGCGTAGTGTTGGGGGCACCAGGGCGTGGCACTTCACTATGACATTACGCTGCGGTTAGCGTGAAGTTAGCGTAGTGTCATAGAATTGCGTCGAATTTCACTGCGAAGATCTACTCTCGTGAATCGCACCCCGGAGAGCGCCACTTTCCGGAGCTCCAGCAGCAGGCGAAGGGATCGCAGTTCCAAAATCTACTACAGTACTTCAAGCTGCACCTCCCCGCCGCACCGCAGGCAGCGGCGGCTGCGAAAACCCAAACCCACTCACAAACCGCAGCCCCGCCGCCCCGGCCACGGCACCAGCCCCGCCGCAGAGACGGGCGCCGCAGGCGCAGGCCAGCGTCCGAATGACCGCCGGGCCCTGGCACCCCCGCACGCGGCCGAGGCCAGACTTGATAGCCTCCTTGAGATTGCCCACCCCC